CATCAAATTGGTATTAACTGATCAATACATAAGTGCACATATAAGAATAACATCTATTGGATGTCAGGCAGGGGAGAGGGGGAGGAGGGAGGGGAGAGAAGGGAACGGGTATTTGCATACGCAAAGAGTGCAATGAGCACCACCCGACGGATGGACATACTTTGAAACTCCGACTTGGCGGGGGGCAAGGGCAACATACGTAACCTAAACATCTGTACCCCCATAATACGCTGAAATTTAAAAAAAGAAAAAAAAAGAAAAGAATATATAAATCAACTCATATAAAAATAAAGCAAAGCCATTTTGCTGAGATCATTTCAGTCCCTGGTTGTCTGGCATCGGTTGACTTGGGCATCAAAGCACCGCCAGGAAGCTGGACATCTTCCCTCAAGTCCAACTGCACCATGGCAGCACCGCTCTAGGTTCTCTGAGCATTTACCTTTTCCATGTGCACTATCTTTATATTAATTATTTTAATACTCCATCATAAATGGTCTTAAGGACATTTCTAGGTATGAAAGAAAAAAATCACTGGGCTGGGGTTGCCCGATGAAATACGGGACTCCCAGTTGAAGTTGAGTTACAGATAAACAATGAATACATTTTTTAGTGTGAGTATGTCCCACGAGGATTGCACATTTTCTTTTCTTTTTTTCCTAAATCTTGCAACCTTTTTCTAGGCCTCAGTTGCTTCTCTTGTCAGTTGAGATGTAGGAAGCTAGATGATCTGCTAGATCCTTCCACCTATAACATTCAATAACTACATTTGAATTCATTTCATTGTGATTAAAAACAAATAGTGGAATCTAATTGACCAATATAGGTTCTTTTTTTCTCCAGATAACCAATTGAGTGTTTCCAAATTAACCACTTGCTGGTCTCCTTTCAAATTGACCGGGATGTGAGAACACAGCCTAAGAGTTTCAAGGCATCTGTATGTGACTAAGCGTGTGTGTGTCATACGTGCCATGTCACTTCAAAGGTGAGGCTGCATCTCTGTTTATTTTGTAACTTCTTCCCTTAGTGTCTACTGTTGAATTTTATGTAAAGATAGAATAAATGTCAATGGCTGATTTGGGGATCATCTGCTTTGAATCAAACTGTGCAATACACAAATTAACTAGTCCTATCAGGTGTTTAACTTGGAGGCTATTAAAATGGGAGTGGC